GTGCGCGTTGTGCGCTACCGGTGCGTGCTGCTGTGCGGCCTGCCGTGCGTGCTGCTGCCCATGACTGCTCCGCAGTGCGCTGCCGGATGGTGTGCCCATAACATAAACTCATCCCTTCATCCACTAAAAAAAAGGATGACTACTGTTTGCATCAAACATTTCCTACCTGGGTAAGCTTTTCCTTTTTCCCATATGTTTTTTCCAACAATTAATTCCATGCTCATTTTCCTCCTCCTCCTCCTCCTCTCTCTCCCTCTCTCTCTCTTTCTCTCTCTCTCTCTTTTCTTTTTTATCAGCATACCGGTTAAGTTCAATAATAGAACCAAACCAAAATTCTGAACAACTAAAGTTTGAACTCAATCCAATCATCCAGTCTGGCGCAGTTTCTAAAACAATGCTCAACAAAATGCCAAATTTCCCAGCTGATTTTTTTTATAGGTAAAATTTTCCCAGCTGAATTTTACCACATGGAAAGAGGGTGATTTGGGGAAACAAATAGCTCATACCATGTTCTAGAAATATCCCTTTTAAATGGAGAATCTAGATCTGCAACAGCAGAAGGAGTAATAATAATTTTACAAATGACAACAATTATCAGTGTCTTTGATGGAGAAAAAGGAGAGATGCAAAAGAGTAGAACCAAGGTTCAACCAGATTACATGGAGACAAACAAAAACAGAAGACATGCTGAGAATTCCATGGCAATAGCCTTTTAAGGACATTTTTGACACAAGACTATAGCGCTCCAAAATAGGGAAGTAGCAGATCAAAATAAATTCGGATATCCTTGTCGTTGAAGAGAGATAACAGCACTACTATGCAGAATTACAGAGTACCTGCCAGGGATCTTAAAGGTAGCTCCATTAGTTGAGGTACCAACTGCAATGTGCCCCATCTACACAATGAACAGAAATTATATTAGGAAGATGAGAAAAAAATTGAGAAGTATTATGTAATCTATTGATAATCAACTCACTTTGTCAATTACAGCCATGGAAATAGTGTCATGGTTGTGGTGGCTGATATGAGATGAACTCCATGGAAGACTCTTCAAATTGCCTCCAGAACATGTCTCACCAGTGAGCTCCACAATGGAAGAGTCGTCCTTTGGATGATAAGGGCCACAGGTATTCACGGGGAGAACATTCTTCCAAAAATTAGGTTGGCAGTGATTCTCCTTCCACATGTGCCATTTTTCCATAGACTCTGGTGAGCTAAGATTTGTAGGTCCTGGAAGACCCATGGAAATGGCAAAAGCTGAGGCCTTCTCTCCAACAAGAAGTGTATGGCCTGTATGTTCCATCACTAGTTTTGCAGCTCTGATGCCATCTTTCACATATCTCATGGCAGCAACAGCTCCAACATCCATTGTTGTCTACTCACATCCTTGGCAAAGCAAGTAATAAACTATCATTTCCAATGTATGCAGATCAAAGATTAAAGGTCAAGAAAATAGAAACAGGAATTTGTCGAGAGTAGGAAAGGTACTGTTACCCCATCCATGACCAGAGCATCAATTGTAATCTCTCCATTCTCATCTGGACTTCCACCAGGCCCAACTGTTGATATCAAAATTATATTAACAATAGACAGTATTAAGGATTAAAAACACGTATCTAATTGCTCCATCAAAACAAAAATCTATACACCGTTTCTAAATTAGAAGAAAAAACCATAAATTGCTTCTAATATCGGGCCCTATGCTATGATTTTGAATAATAAATTAGCAAATTCAACCATAGTTTTTAATCAAGCTAAAAGTGTTTATACATAGTTTCCCCTTGGCCTTAAAAATGATAAATATCCCAAACCTAATGATTCTAATCACTGCAAAGTAAAAACAAAGACCAATTCATAAACTAACACAGGAACCTTTTTTAGCAAGTGCTACACATCCTCATAAAAACAGATTACCCAAAAGCGGAAGACATATCAAGAACTTAATGCAACCTGTCACATTATATTTTAGATTAGAAGATCATATCACAATTTTTCTTATCAAATTAGGTTTCGGATAATCGGATTCATACCTGTACCATCGCACCTGAGCTCCTCACAAGCAGAGCAACCCTCTACCACCGCATCAACTGCAGATAATCCCTTGTCAACAGCATTCCAAGCAGCTCTTACTGCATCAACGAAGGGCCAGGTGCTCACAACCAAAGGGTACTGCCCCGAGTTATGCACTTGATGTCCTAAGACCTGACGATAAACAGTTAAAGAAAGATTATTGAATCGAGTCTAACACATACAAAAGGCGGACGAAAACCCAGAATGTCAAGTTGCAGAATTTGGCAAATCCAATTAAATATCTGTAGGTATGGAAACCACAAACCCACATTCATGTCGAAGAAATATGATGAGATGGATAGGAACATAGAGAACCCAGATGAAAGAAACAAGCGTTTATGTTGAAGAAATGATTGGAACTATAAAGTTTTAAGTGAAAAAACAACCGAGCAAATGGAACGAAAAGGATGAAGACCCGATACCCAAATTGCAAAGAACAAACACAGACAGTCCGAAAAAATGCTAGAAATCATGTTAGGAAATGAATTCTTCTTGTGGCATCTTACCGTAGAAATTGAGAGGAAGAGATAGGTGATAGACAGTTTTGTGAGAGCCATGGCACCGGAAAGTCGAGGGGTTTTTTTGCAATTTTTACTTTACGCCTCTGCTTCTTTCCCAAAAGAGTCAGGACTCTGTGAGCTTTTCCTTGGATCGGTTGCACCTAATCTCTCATTGATCAGAAGCCGGAACCCCTTTTCGGAAGCGCCGATATCTACCAGTCAATAGGCTCCGGCCCTCCGGGAAGCCCACAACCGCTTATTTGCGCTGTGCCTCCCTTTCAGCCTGTTCAAAAACCGGAAAACCGAGCATAACTGATGAAACCGAACCGAAAAATCCGGTTAAATGAACGGTTCGGTTCGATTTCGATTTGATATTTTTGAAAAAATTAAGGTATATCCATTCAGTTTTGATTAATTAATATGAAAAGCTGATAATTAATCGAATCCGTTATTTATATACTTATTTATAATATATATTATAAATATAAGGGTAAAATACAAAAACCTCCCCCGAAGTTTCTAACAATCATAAAAACCTCCCCTATGATTTCATTTTAGCAAAAACCTCTTCTTTATTTTTGACAAAATTAATAAATACTTCACTTCCATCAATGACCAAGATGAAAATGTTAAAGAGATGATCATTTTTTTTAAAAATACTTATTTTGCCCTTTCTCGAATATTGTTCATCTTCTTCCTCACGACGCAAAACAGCAAAATGGTGGTGCATTCCCCCCTTCAACCTTCCCTCTTCCTTAATTTCCTTCTGATTCTCTCTCTCCCCACCAACAAAGAATAGCACTATTCATCCTCTCTCTCTCTCTTCAATCTTCATCAGTGGCATCTCTGCGTCTCATCTTGCTCTCCCTTTCTTCTTCTTTTCTCTATTTGAGGCTTCCACACCAAACACAGAAATGCCATTGATGAAGATTGAAGAATGAAAGAGAGAGAAGGGACATTCTCTTCACACGGCAACACCTCCCTTCTTTTTGCTGTGTGTTCCTCTCTTATTTTTGGTTTTTATAGAGAACCCAAGGCATACCTTTGCTAGCAAACTAGCTATTTCGACATTCTCTTATGATTGTTGTTTTTCCTCTTTGTAGGCGGGGTTTGCGGCTTTGGAAACCTCTACAGCCAAGGTTACGGGACTAATATTGCAGCTCTAAGTACTGCTCTGTTCAACAATGGCCTGAGTTGTGTGGGGCTTGTTTTGAGATTAGGTGTGTGAACGACCCAAAGTGGTGCCTGCCTGGCTCCATTGTTGTCACAACAACTAATTTCCGCCCACCCAATAATGCCCTTCCTAACAATGTAGGGGATTGGTGTAACCCTCCCCAACACCATTTTGATCTCTCTCAGCCTATCTTCCAACACATTGCTCAGTACAGAACTAGGATTGTTCCAATGGCTTATAGAAGGTAATTTTTGTACTTCTTTGGTCCTATGTTTTGTTCAGTGTACCTTAAGCAATAGAAGGTAGCTTTGTGATTCTTGTGGATGCTCATATATGGGTGGGGGAGGGGGGCGGTTCCCTTCTCTCCCCACGCCAAGAAATAGGAGTTCAGATCAGCCCCCACAAGATTGCCCCCCACAATGTCCCACAGCATATCCCTGCCATCTATTGAGAACATCTCCCAATGATGACATTATCATTTCTGTAGATGTTTCCAGTACACGGCTGGAATATGTTGTGGGACATTGTGGGGAGCAATCTTGTG